ATGTAGCATATGATGATTAAAGTCAACTTGAATCAACAGCGTGTGTTGATCTTGATCTACAATTAGTTTGTTTTTCTCCCGTTGAGGTGTTCATTTCAACTAAAAATATGTAAAATTCTTATGATGTTTGATTCTCCAAATGCCCTCAAAGAAGCTTTTAATATATTATGTGCTCAGAAGTGCTCAATGAATCATATTCGATCAATTTAATTTTCTAATGTCAAATCAATATTCATAATTCATGTTCTTCACAAAGATCTTATTGAAACTAACAATCTAACAAGCTCTTATTTTTCTTCACTTCATTTAATAAATGTTCGGAATATTTGATTTTAATTTAATTCATTCACAGTAAAATCTGACCTTTAACTTCCAAACATATACACCAAATAAATTCCAATAAACCAAATAAATCAAATAGCAATAATAATAATAAGGCCTGAAATTTCTTTTAAAAAAATAAAAAAAACATTCATAACCCTCAAATTGTATATACACACTCATCAAGGAGTTATTAAGCAGCTTTTTATCCGGACTCTAATCTTGTGAAGACACATTGATTGTTTTTTCTCTTTCTGGTACACACCTTGTGTCTTCACGTGATTGGAATCTGAACACCCCGCACGTAATATTTTTCTTGATCAACAGGTGAAATTATTACGCACAGTCACCGAAAACTGTCCGAAGGCAAATCAGAACGCTCCACTTCACTTTTTTGTTGTGTACCGCTATATATCGGATGATGTGGTGCATCTTGATTCGCCTCTGAACTATCCGGTGACCGCACGTATTAATTTCCCAAACAAAAGCCCCTTCCCTTTAAAAAAAAAATGATCATCATCATCATCATCATTGAACATACGCAAAGCATACCTTGTTGCTGATAGCCCTCTGGTAGACCTCCAAAGTAAAGCTACAGTTAAGATGTATGTCCATATTCAACTTATACACGCCGAGCACATTAACCCTACCAGCAATATCCGTATAACTGCTCATATTCACCGCCCCATCGAGCACAGCCGATCCCGTCGCGTTCGTATCCAACACCACCCGATCCGCCAAAACATCCACCGTCACGTTCATCCTCGCCGTCCTATACGCCCTCACGTTGCCGTCCGGCGCGTAGGCGACGCCGACGGTCTCGTCGCCGTAGAAGAACTCGGTGGAGCTGTTGCGGAACCGGAAGGAAGCGACGTTAGGGTTCTTGATGGAAATATCGGCGGTGAGGGTGGCGTTGACGGAGATGGTGGGGTTGTCGAGGGTGCCGAGGCCGGGGACGAAGAGGCGGTTTATGTAGAGGTTGTTCATGGTCATTTCGGGGTCTTTGATTTTGAAGACGGTGAGGGCGAGGATGAGGATGATGACGCCGAGAACGACGATGGTCGTGCCGCAGATGCCGCAGCACCACAGGGCGCAACGACGGGTGGGGCGGCGGCGGCGGCGGAGGGGGCTTTGGATGGCCGATTCCTCGTCGCGGGTTGGGGGTGCGAGAGGGATTGCCTGATCTTTGTCCTCCATTTTTGTTTTTTTTTTTCTTTTTTGGAGGCTATGGATTAATAAGGGATTCGTTGGGATTATATAAAGGGGGAGTATGGAAATTCTACAATTGATGACTTGTTTTATGAGTCATAAATGCTTGGTATTATTTTAAGACTAATATTTCTTCACGCCAAATTTTTATAAAATTATAATTAAAATTTGATATATTATATTTAAATAACGAACAAAATAAAATGAAAAATATTAAATATCTTCAAAAAATTTTATTATATGCATAAGTTCTAAGAGTTTGTTTTGACGATTATAACGTTTTATAAAATTAATTGTGAAATTATTATCGGAAAAACAACTTAACTATTTTGAAAAAAAATAGATCCACGTTAT